ATCCTTGGTTAACGTGTGATGACCCCTGAAGACTTTTGTTTGATAGATTTGACTGTGAGATCCTTGAATCAAATCATCTGACACAAAAGCATCAAAAATTACTTGTTCTGAATCTTCACATATTGGCGGAGGCGATGGCGTTGTAATTATTGATCGAGAACCATTGCTACTATTACCGCCAGATGTTGTAACGTAATCACCACCACTACCATTATTTCCATTATCTTCATCAAAACTTTGACCTTCAATCCTACTATCCATATTACTAGAACAACCATCGTCGTCGTCGAAAGGGTTATCTGTATTATCAAATTCATCAGAAGATTGAATATCTATAAAATTGGGTTCGATTGTTGAATCTGGAGTTGTTGGTTGATTTGTGGGATGAGGATAATTTGGTGTAGGTGGACATAATACTTCTTTTGGATATACCATCCGAAAAAATGATAGTTGAAAAGAGATTTTGGCATATTCAATACCATTCATCTGCAATGTTTCTTCTTTCACTATATATATAAATATATAGAATAAATATTAGTATATTAATATATTATGATTATAATCAAATTAATAAATAGAAATTGATTGATTACCCAAATAAGGATTACTCGTTTTTAATTTTTCCCAAATACTTCGATCCTCGGTATCAGAAGAAAGAATAATTTTCCTTGAAGAAAGCTTTCCATCACTGTGTCGACATTGTATTAACAACGTGATATTGTTTAATGTGTTTACACGCAATGCAATATGGCCTTTAAAATGTTTCTCATTAATACGCCAATATTTTTTTGTTGAATGCCTTTCTTTGTCGTTCAACATAAATTCCATCAATCCATTCATTCCATACAAATCAACACTAATAATAATAAAAGTATAAATTGGTATAAGTAGCTTATTTGGAATTTTGAAAGAGAAAAAAAATGTAACATACTAATTTATCTCGCTAATGATAAACATTCCAATTTTATTATAACTTGAATCATCATATAATGGTATACCATACTCATGATTTAGTCCCTGTTTAAATAATAGATTAATTAATACTAACATAGATATTAATAGATATAAAAATTTATTTACCTTAGCAAGAAAATATAAATAAAACTCGACACGACCATTGATATTGTCACCGTCAGTGTGGATTAATTTTTCAGTTACTTTAATTGGACGCTTTTTTTTTAAATT